TATTATTATTATTATTATTATTATTATTATTATTATTATTATTATTATTATTATTATTATTATTATTATTATTATTATTATTATTATTATTATTATTATTATTATTATTATTATTATTATTATTATTATTATTATTATTATTATTATTATTATTATTATTATTATTATTATTATTATTATTATTATTATTATTATTATTATTATTATTATTATTATTATTATTATTATTATTATTATTATTATTATTATTATTATTATTATTATTATTATTATTATTATTATTATTATTATTATTATTATTATTATTATTATTATTATTATTATTATTATTATTATTATTATTATTATTATTATTATTATTATTATTATTATTATTATTATTATTATTATTATTATTATTATTATTATTATTATTATTATTATTATTATTATTATTATTATTATTATTATTATTATTATTATTATTATTATTATTATTATTATTATTATTATTATTATTATTATTATTATTATTATTATTATTATTATTATTATTATTATTATTATTATTATTATTATTATTATTATTATTATTATTATTATTATTATTATTATTATTATTATTATTATTATTATTATTATTATTATTATTATTATTATTATTATTATTATTATTATTATTATTATTATTATTATTATTATTATTATTATTATTATTATTATTATTATTATTATTATTATTATTATTATTATTATTATTATTATTATTATTATTATTATTATTATTATTATTATTATTATTATTATTATTATTATTATTATTATTATTATTATTATTATTATTATTATTATTATTATTATTATTATTATTATTATTATTATTATTATTATTATTATTATTATTATTATTATTATTATTATTATTATTATTATTATTATTATTATTATTATTATTATTATTATTATTATTATTATTATTATTATTATTATTATTATTATTATTATTATTATTATTATTATTATTATTATTATTATTATTATTATTATTATTATTATTATTATTATTATTATTATTATTATTATTATTATTATTATTATTATTATTATTATTATTATTATTATTATTATTATTATTATTATTATTATTATTATTATTATTATTATTATTATTATTATTATTATTATTATTATTATTATTATTATTATTATTATTATTATTATTATTATTATTATTATTATTATTATTATTATTATTATTATTATTATTATTATTATTATTATTATTATTATTATTATTATTATTATTATTATTATTATTATTATTATTATTATTATTATTATTATTATTATTATTATTATTATTATTATTATTATTATTATTATTATTATTATTATTATTATTATTATTATTATTATTATTATTATTATTATTATTATTATTATTATTATTATTATTATTATTATTATTATTATTATTATTATTATTATTATTATTATTATTATTATTATTATTATTATTATTATTATTATTATTATTATTATTATTATTATTATTATTATTATTATTATTATTATTATTATTATTATTATTATTATTATTATTATTATTATTATTATTATTATTATTATTATTATTATTATTATTATTATTATTATTATTATTATTATTATTATTATTATTATTATTATTATTATTATTATTATTATTATTATTATTATTATTATTATTATTATTATTATTATTATTATTATTATTATTATTATTATTATTATTATTATTATTATTATTATTATTATTATTATTATTATTATTATTATTATTATTATTATTATTATTATTATTATTATTATTATTATTATTATTATTATTATTATTATTATTATTATTATTATTATTATTATTATTATTATTATTATTATTATTATTATTATTATTATTATTATTATTATTATTATTATTATTATTATTATTATTATTATTATTATTATTATTATTATTATTATTATTATTATTATTATTATTATTATTATTATTATTATTATTATTATTATTATTATTATTATTAGAAAGAAAGAACAGAGAGAGAGAGAGAAAGAAAGAGAGAGAGAGAGAGAGAGAGAGAGAGAGAGAGAGAGAGAGAGAGAGAGAGAGAGAGAGAGAGAGAGAGAGAGAGAGAGAGAGAGAGAGAGAGAGAGAGAGAGAGAGAGAGAGAGAGAGAGAGAGAGAGAGAGAGAGAGAGAGAGAAGAGAGAGAGAGAGAGAGAGAGAAGACAGAGACAGACAGCACCCAAGAAATATATATCATCACAACCACACACCTTCTATTTCCCAAACCAGTTTATCATTTGCAAAACAAATTCAACATCAACGAATTTCTGCAACCCCCCCTCCCCCCCCACACACACACACACTCAACCATAGGGTATCAACAGCCACAGTTTCACATCGTGCCTGATAAAACAGCCAAATGCACTTAATGAAGATACTTGTTTTGAAACGTGACGTGCGTGCAATATTTCAGGGTGATAAATATTAAAGCCCAGATGCAAAAAGAATTTCGTGCTTGCTTAATGATTATAAAAGATATTCTCCTTCAACTATAAAGCAGATTTTCCTACTTTAGAAAACCGATTTTCCCTACACTATAAATATCTTCCTGCATTTTGCTACACCATTAAGATTTCCTTGCACTATAAAGCACATGTTCCTATTTTATAAAATCGATTTTCCTACAGGTCGAATCAGACTCCCCTACGCCATTCCGAGCTTTCAAAGTACCTAATAACAGACGCACAGGTAAGTACAAGCATCGGGGGCGATTCTGTGCTTTTATCCGGCAACCTCATCTCTCTCTGGCGCCTCACAAGGACGTCACAACATAACCCTGTCCTACTCCGTGTGGAAAGAGGGGGTCTACTAAACAAGCCGCTGATGTCACAGGTGATGGATGTCAGCCGTGACGTCACACAGTAACACAAACAGACGTATTGCGAGAGCGCGTAAAGCAAACAGGCCCGCAGGATCCCACACACAAGGGCCGCGCGGGGTAAATGTCACGCGTGAAGAGGAACCCAGACTTGTGGCAAGACGGGGGATGTTCCTATGTTCGGCCGGGCACTTAGGGGCGATTTTCGCGAATCTTCTTGGCTATTTTCCAGAAGTACAACGTCGTGTAAAAAAGAGACTTGTTGTAAGAACACTTGAAATTGGAAGCGGGGTTTATCTTTTGGGGGAAAGATCAAGCGAGAATTTATTTTGGGGATGTTGAGTAATAAAATATTCGCGGATTACGAAGCTTAAGAAGAATACAATGCCCCCCCCCAATTTTCTGCTAAAGCACTCTGCTCTCCGCCCAGAAATCGTGTCCCACCAAACGGACAAGTTTTTTCTTTTATTATTCCTCCTTTTTTTATATTTCTTAAAGAGTGCAAACACCCACCGAAGTTCGAAATGCGAGAAGGTCACATTTGAGGGGAAACTAAAGACGGCTGTTGGGGGGAGGGAGAGGGGAGTTTGTAAGAATCTTAAAGAAAAGAGGTTGTAAAACAGAAGTGTTCGCTTTTCGTTGGTTGTCGTGGGAGGGGGAGGGGGAGGGGAGGGGTAGGGAAGGGGGTGGGGAAGGGTGTGTGTGTGTGTGTGTGTGTGTGTGTGTGTGTGTGTGTGTGTGTGTGTGTGTGTGTGAGAGAGGGGAGGGCATGGGGAAGGGAGGGGGGGAGGGAGGGACACGTGTGAGGACTCCTTCATTCCTTCGAGTTTTATTTTTCCTCAAGGACGTGGTTCATTATCCCCAAGCTAGATGTCACGTGATTTTAAAAAAACGAGATAGGGGAAGTGAGAGAGAAGGAGGGATTCTCCTAACCGCTATCATGAGCAGGAAAACTTGCTACATCTAACAGCACATTCCTTCTAAACCACCTTTTCATCAAAGCGCAAGAGATAATCAACCTATGCAACATATCCTCCTTTTCTCTTCTTTTCTTCACTCATGTTTCTACCATATATAAGGCTTGTGTAATGAATAAGAGGCGCTACCCACGTCCTCTTCAAGCCGCAAAGACAGCATCCCTCGCCTCGTCTCTTCATCTCCCCGCGTTTTCACCCACACAGACTCGCCCGTTCTCTTCGCGTCGCCTTCTCAAAATAACCGAGATGATAACCTTCACTATAAAAGTCCTGTCATATTGAAACACACGCCTGAGATATCTCCTCACCCCTTTCTTTTGTGTGTATACACTAATGCTGGCTCCTGTGTTTTCAGTCTCGATTTTTCGTCTGTGTGATTTTTTTGGTCTGTTTTTTATCGTCTCTTTTTTTGTCTCTTGTTTATCGTATGTGTCTTTGTCTCTTGTTTATCGTGTGTTTTTCGTCTTTTGTTTATCGTCTGTGTTTCTCGTCTCTTCTTTATCGTCTGTGACCTTTGTGTCTTTCGTCTCTGTTTATCATACATGTCTTTCGTCCCTACTGTCTGTCTTTCGCCTCCAATTACCAACCGTGTCTTTCGTCCCTACTTATCTCGGTGTCTCTCGTCTCCACCTATCACCTCCGCCTCTTCCTCCTCCTCTTTCTCTCGAATTCCTACGATCCCGACCGCGCTGTTCCTCCCACAAGGACCGCATGCCTCCGTAATCCTTCGGGAAACAGACCCGGCCGCTCCTCGTTCGTTTTCCACGGCGCCCCGAGGATGACGTTACGTGCCTACGAGACTATCCTCATGTTCGAGTCCCGCCCGCTGCCCCTCCCACCTCTGATGCCCCCGACCTTCTACCCCAGATGCCCCTCTCCCCCCCGACCTTCTACGCCAGATGCCCCCCCGACCTCCCTCTTCAGATGCCCCCGACCTACCCCGGATGCCCCCCGACCTCCCATCTCTGGTGCCCCCGACCTCCCTCCTCTGATGCCCCCGACCTCCCTCCTCTGATGCCCCCCGACCTCCTACCCTCCCCCCCATCCTCCTCCTTTGCAGTACGACACTTTCTCCTGCTGAGGGCCATGCGAGGGCCGAGCAGCGAGGGAGTCCGAAG